CTAGCCTCCATAACTAATAAGAAATATCTTCATCTGTTAAAGCCAAACACCTGTGTTATTTCTGTTATACCAACACTAAGGCAATTTATTTATAAACTCTTAAGGATGGGTATTTTTGTATTTTTTTCCAAGTCATCAAAATTGAGTAACCTTTGCAATGCAGTTACATTTGTCTCTGGGCCCAAATCTCCTACTCTTTCTGCCTAGATATCCTTATTTGTAATTATCCCTACTATCGGTGAGGTCAACAGGTGTTCTGTTCTGTTTCCTTCCGAAACTGGCATGTAACATAGACTCTTATTACATAGCCTTAGACAAGACTGACCCCAGAAATGCCCACTGTTTGAAAATCATTTTTAGATATATCCCTAGGATAAAGAGTAAGAATGGCACATGCACATTTGCTCTGCTTTACGCTGGGCCTGCCCAAAACATTGATACACACAGCTGTTTCAAGTCTCTCCAGTTCCAAAATACCTGGTAGGACTGATTAAGTCCTGAATGATCACAATACAGTCCATTAGAAAAACATCTTCTGGTTAGAAATAGTCTTTGAATGCAGATAACTTGCAAAAGACTTACTCATTAATGATCAGATCGGGAGCAAAGCACAACACACTACTACTTGACTGTTTGTAAGATCTCCATCCCAGAGCAAAGGCCATGAGAAACATCCATGAGTACTGCAGTAGGGTCATTTGGTCATCCAGGTGTAAATTCCTGAACCCTGAATTAAAAAAAGAAAAAAATATAAGGAAACACCCTAGTTACCAGCGAGAAGACCAGATATCAAATTGAGGAAACGAAGTGTTACCTGAGCAGTTCAGACCTAAGGTCTAAGTACTTACCAGTATTCAGTTGGGGGGTGGGAAAAGTATAGCAGTTATTTGTGTGTGGGTTTGTTTGTTTTGTGGGGTGGGCAGGGTGTCACCTTTTACCTATCTAAACAAAAACGGAATAGTAGAAAGTTGAGAGTCCAAGTTTGGAAAAATCAATGAATACAAATTTTAAAAATCTCCTAGTATTTTCACAATTGAAAAAGGATTATAGAAGTCAGTATCTGAATATACGCATGCCAATCCCCGTTTCTTTTTCTGGAAAAGCAGGGTTGACTGTGAACCTACATTCACTTCTGTTCCATGTCATGTTTGAATAAGGAATCTTTCACTTAAATTATCTTATTTTTCGAATTTTCGAAGTAACCAGATTTAAAAAATATCATTTAATTCTTAGTCTTTTAATTTCTTAATTTAAAAGTAATTTTGAGCAAGTCCTGTAACTCTGGTGCTGAAATTGCTGTTTTCTCGATAATAACCTGAAAAGCAGGAAAGGATGGACAAGTTTTGCTACAGATTCCACACAACCTTGTGCTAATGGTCTCCTTGACCTGGAAAAGGTGTCTGTCTTTTTTCTGGGCTACACGATTGATCATTTAATTAAGAAGCTGTTTTACAACTTTAAGGATTTGGATATTTGAGGGAGGCAATTCTGTTTTCAAAGACCTATGAGCCACTATAACTTGACACATTGGGATGCTATAACCACATGGTAAGCAGTTCAATCCCATCAGCCACTCCATAGGAAAAAAAGAGAAGGCTGTCTGGTTCTGTAAAGATTACAGCCTAAGAACCCAAAGGGACAGTTCTACCCTGGTTCTATAGGGTGGCCATAAGTCAGAGTTGCCTCAATGGCAGAGTTGTTTTTTTTACGTTTCCATATTAACCAATTCCCCCAGGTTGACTAGATAAGATAGGGTACTAAAACCCAGCAAGTTTTTCTGCCAAGAAAACACAAAAGTTTACATGTAAGTGTACCATGCTTTTTGCATTTTACCTGGTATCGCCTTTGCCCACTTGACTGCTGCAATCACTTGCCGCCCACCTAGCATGTTGAGTGTGGTCATGATACGCCAAGTGCTATCTGGAACAGTGCTGTCATACCCTGAATATAACACTTCAGGTTCAATGACCTCCAACAGAGACACCAACGTAGGGGTGAGCTGTGGTAACGTTGTAGGAACTATTGTTTTGGTAGCAGGATTTTCAGAAGGTTCTTGTGGGACTCCTGTAGAGGTCTGCTGAATTCCTTTTATTTTCTTCTTTGTTTTTCGAGCTGTGGATTAGTAAAAAACAAATACAAATGAACTATAACGAAGATCTTGGCTATACCATTTAATGAAGAAATAGTTTTAATTCTGAAACTACTCAGGCTAAAAAGGAAACATGTTTTATTTTTATTTGGTAGTACCGAAAGAGTGACATGCAAAAGGTTAATGTTTTTCCTCCTAAAGCAAAGGATCAACCAAAACCCAGACTCATATTAATTTTTCTTATCTATAAGCTCCATGGGCAGTTCTATTCTTACAGGGTCTCTATAAGTCAGAATGGCAGTGAGTTTGAAATTTTACTATAGTTATACTTTTTATGACTATGCTAAAACAATCTAAATAAATAACTTCTGTAGCTTATTCGTAGATTAATTTGCTAACTTGGATCCAAAATAAAAGTTGCCGTTGGTATAGTAAGCAAATTGCTTTACTATCAAATCAAAGATTCTGACTAAACCATGACTTATGGGTAATTTACATTATGGTAGTTTATATATAAAATGACAAACTATAACCAAATCACAACATGAATTCTATATATTTTCAGTAAACATGCTTCTCTTGAAGTATTTGCATTAGTGGCTAAATAAGGATTTTATGACTCTTAGAAAGGGCAGCTCAAAGCTCCAAGAATGGAAAAGGAATGTAATTTGTATGAAAGAGGAAAGGAACCTTCCAAGTTATTAGGGCTGCTAAAAAACCCACATTGCCATCGAGTAGATGCTAACTCATAAACCCCCCAGGACAGGGCAGAACTGCCCCTGTGAGTTTCTGAGACTATAATTCTTTATGGGAGTAGAAAGCCCCCTCTTCTTTCCAACAGGACTCCTTAGGGATCAGTAATTGTTCATTAACTTAAAAAAAATAATTATTAGAATCTGCAGCACCAGTAATGGTATCTCAATACCCAGTGTTAGAAAGAAACAAATAAAACCTTCATTGTTTACAGTGAATAGAATGGATCTACTGCTTTCTGTGCTGAATGTGGCACTGAGAAATTTTAAAAGGTTAACATTTCAAAACAAAGCAAAAGGGTTGTGGCAGAATTTATCATGCTATACTGATTGACTAGTATGTGTACACATAATGAGCACACATATGCAAGCAGCATGTAAGGTTTAAATCCTGACTGCGGAGACGAAGGCTGTGTGCCTGTGGAAGGTACTTACATGTCCCTGGGAGTTATTTGATTCTACAGCCTTCGTCTTTAAAATGAGGGTAATATCAGTTTTTATAGCAGTACTAAATCACCTACCAATTCATGGCACAAAGTGTAAGAACTATCATTACTTCAATTTATCGGATAATATGGTTTTGGGATATTCTAAAATCTGATAGTACAACTCCATGTAGGTGTGGTAAAACTTTAAAAAGGAAGAATGTGTAAGGAAACCCTTTAAGCAACCAAAGGTCTCTCTCTGTAACCATGATCTCCTATCAAGGAATGTGCCTTGTTGGCAAAGGAAGAGAATATGAATGTCACAATCTACACAAAGGACAGTAGAAACCCCAACCATAACTTTAAATGGTCTAGAATGTATGTTCTTATACACAATATTAGAATAAATACAAAGGGAAAATGACAGGCTGGATGATTAAAACACACACACCTTCTTCTATGACTCAGTATAAAATTAGTTTAATTTCTTACTACTTATCTATAATCCTAAATAAGAGAACTGGTGCTTTTGAATAAAGCACTAGGGAACTCAACTTTATAGACTAGAGCAAGAAGTGTACTAATACATTTCCAAAATACTATCGGCAAGGAACTGCTACTTGAACTAGTTAAGCTATCGCTATTTTCACTCTATCTAATAAGTCAAATTTTACTGTACTTAATTAAGTTCTTGACTTGTTGGAGCATGTCCTGGATTAGCAGTCAACACAGGTCTCTACAGAGGTGTCCATGGGCCTATGATATCTCCACATCCTCCTTCATAAATCTTAATCAGCTTAAATAATGTAGTAGTTTAAAAACAGGTGAGAAATCTCATAATGCCATAAACAACCTTGACTATATATTTCATATGACTTTTTCTACCAAGTATAAAGGTATACTATGGAATGATTACCATATACCATACATACTCGAGTATAAGGCAACCCGAGTATCAGTCAAGGCACCTAATTTTACCACAAAAACGGCATTTAAAATGTGCCGAAAAACTCAACTTATACACGAGTATATACGGTAACTTTCAAGGAGTTTAGGTCATTGCTTAAAAAACTAATTGTACTCAAAGGCCATGCACTTGAGGGAAGTGAAGACCGTAGCCTTAAAATGAATCTTGAAATTGCCTTGGTATGGGGCCACATCATCAAGATACAACCTGTGCGGCACTAAGTTCCATTTATGGAGAGAAGTGGGTTCTAGGATTGCTTCTGCAAAGTTACTCTAGGCAGTGGTTCTCAACCTTCCTCATGCCGCGACCCTTTAACACAGTTCCTCAGGTTGTGGTGATCCCCCCCCAACCATAAAATTTTCAATGCTACTTCATAACTGTAATTTTGCTACTGCTATGACTCACGTGACCCACAGGTTGAGAACCGCAGCTCTCGGATATCATGGAAAACTTCTTGGCTTAGGGGAAAAAGCCTTAAGATTGAAAATAAAAAAGATGAAAAATTGTTTCTTCTAGTATCTTTTATAACTATTATGGTCTGCCAACCAAGTCTAGCACACACACATACCTGCTCTAAATAATGAATTCACATCTCCTCATTTACAGCATTTATGACAATGGTAAAAAGAACCTACTATGCAAATTTTATATGTATGTTTTATGTCTGGCTGTAATAAATGCCAACGTTGACAGTAATACTGGTTGTGATGACTAAAATTATGTCCGGGCCATGATTCTCGGTGGCTTATGCAAAGATGTAGTCAGCCTCCATTTTCACACAAAACTATGTTGATACGTAATGTGCAAATGATGCTCTCATGTTAAAACTACCTGAAAACTCTCAAACAAGAACACCTGTAAACTTAGATTTTTCTTGATTCTATCTATAGAAAAATTGCAAAGTTTAATTAAATGACCAATTACATGAAAAATGCCACCTAATACCTATTATTAAATGACAAACTATACTACATAGTAAAACAGAGTTCTAAAGTTAAATTTGGAGTAAATTCTGTATTTACTCTAAGATGTTTTTAATTTGAGGGTCCCAAATAACCCCTTTGGGTACTAGAATGACATCAAAGACTACCATGTTGTGCTGGTTTCCACACTATTCTATCGACAACTTGTATAACAGATTTTAAACAGACTACATGACTTGAAATGGGACAGACCATCGCACTGCCTGGTTTCCTAGTGAGGCACAGGCTGCCACTGTGGTTATCTATCGATTTGTAAGAGGGAAAAGAAATGGAAGGTTCACTTAGTACCTTGGTCCATCAGAAATATAACTTTGTTGATTATTTCTGTTGACTAAGCAAGTCCATGATATTGTGGTTAGGAGAAAACTGCTCAGTGAAAAGTATCTGTTTAAAGATCACAATTAAGCGTAATATATAATCAGAAAGCAACTAAAAGCATTATTGGCAAGTACCAATGTTTAGTCCCTCTTCTGTTATCACCATCTCTTATCTAGATTACTGATATAGTTTAATTAATTCCTACTTAGGAGTCAGTGGTAAGCACAGGCCTGACCATGTTTTTCTAAATGGCTGCAGTCTTGAAAACCTTACTCTGCAGTTTGTACATTTAAAGTCTAACATTTCTTCTTGCAGGAAATCTCCCTGGAGCGAGGTGACTCTCCCATTACCCCCGAGGCTCTAGTGTGCTTATGATAAGTCATATCATTTGGTGAGCGACTTTACAATCTCATTGGCAGGTGAACTCTGAAAACAGACACTAATTCATGTCCAGTGCCTGCCACGTCAATGAAAAAACTGCTAATATTATCAGCTTCTAAAACTGCTAATATTATCAGCTTCTAAGCACAAGGTCACCACCATCACGCTTTTCAGAGGAAAGTGTAAAATGATGTTAATTATACAATGTGTTACATATTTTATACAAAGACATTCCCAGCCTAGGTGAAGCCGAAAATGGAATAAAAATGGATAAAGCAAATTACCTTAATATTATATACATTTCATTATTACAAAATGTCTAGGTATTCTGTCTGGGTATAGTTAATTTACTGCATGTTAATAAGAGCTGGTGAATAAATTTAAATACCGTATATATAGACATTTCGTTTGCCACTGCATTTGCTCCCTGCTGTATGCTAATGTTTTTCCTTATAAAAGAATTAGTACAGCACACACACCTTTGCAAGGGCAGGGTTGGCAAACACAGAATGTGCATAAAGTATGGTAAGCAGAATATGAGATATTCGTGAAAAAAAACACCAGCCCTCCTTTTGTTGGACAGTTAAGATAAATATAATTCTAATCACATACATAGGGGGCTTCAAAAGTTCATGGGGAAATTCCATTTTCCACAAACTCGTTGTGTGTACACACACACACACACACACACACACACACACACACACACAGTACAGATGACCACATCTGTTTGCATACACCCCAGGGAACATTCTTCTACAATGCAGAGACAAAACAATCTACATTACCTTCCAGGTTCATTCCAGCTTGAAGACATTTTCGATAGCGACACGCCGGGCAGTTCTTTCTTCGAATCTTGTCAATGATACAGTCATTTCTTCCAGCACAAAGATAATTGTGCTGTCCTATATGACAAATTAGAGAACTATTAAAATTTCACAGGTCACAAGGAAAGCTTTAATGGAGGTGAGCCTTTTGAATTTGGGGTGGTATGCACTCAAGGTCAATGCAGACATTGGTTATAGAAAGCACGGTGTTACAACTGCATGATGAAGTTGGGAGGGGGACTAAAAAATGTCTGTTAATCTGTACAGTAACACAATTTTAGGTGCATTATATGGTAAAGGTTCAGAAGTTGGATTCCACATGCAATCAGGACACAGCAGTACCTTCACCAGCTTAGTGCTCTTTTCTCGTCACTGCCTCTCAGGAGAAGCACTTTCTTTGGACTAGTGTCACTATCTAGCACACACTATGTAAGCTTTTTATATATCCAGTAGGCTCAGGAGTGTGAGTGTAGAGAGTCTAGTTCCTCAGACCCTTCCCTTTAACTCCTCGGAGAGACTTCATACAACTTCAGTAGCAAAAATGACAGATTAACCTCTCATCTGTTACGGAGGATGTCTGTTGTCATATTTTATTATGATTCTAACAGGATACTGAGAAAGGACTAAGGGAAGAAGAAACTAGTTGAAAAATACAGCGGAATTCCTAATGGGACAGTAACTTTAATTCAAAATTATACCTTTATATACAAATAAACAGCGATATTTAATCTCGCATGTTAAGGTTGCCAGAAAGTGTTCAGGTGAATCACAGACTTGGCAAACTGGACTAACGTACATATAGAATGGAAAACAAAACAGGACATTTATTTCATATGCTTTCAGGATATGAGTGTCTGCTTGCATTACTCACTGACCTCAGATATACACGTGAAGACCTTTAACGTGTTAAGATAGTGCTGCAATTCTCTCCTGACAATAATTTTCAAGGAAAATATCAAGTGTCCCTTATCCCAAATTCCCACATACACAATCTTTCAATCTAGTTAGGCAAAAACGAAGAGGAGTCTCCTACATGAAATTGGCATGTTTGGACAGATTCACTAGCTAGGTAACTAAGCCCTTATGAAACTTGCACCAGGGGAGATGGATGTCACAAGATTCTACAGGGCACTTTTCAAGAATGAATCACAATCAAAGAACATCTTAATTATCCACTTACTGGCTCAAATGGACTGACTTTAGAGAAAGGATATTTTATGCCTGGCACAACCTAATGCTTGACTTGGATGAAAACAAACTATATTTGCTTTTTTGTACTACGATAAATCATAGTTCTTTAAACACCAGTTTGGGGAAGATGGTTAATAGTTTCATGCTCATGTCTTTGCGAGGGATGGGCCACTCGTTGAGCAATGAACTACAATTCAGCTTTGTTTCAGGGCCGCACTCTTATGCCGAATGTCTGTGCCCGCTGTTTCAGTTCCTTTCTGCATTGTGTAAGTCTCCAAGCACTTTAACTCGGGACATGAAATGGAAGCTCTAGCGATCTCCTACAAAGTGAAAGTAGAGGCAACAGATGTTAAGAACACTCCTACATTGGTGCCAGACAGTTGAAAAAATTATTGCGAAAAACATTCCAATGTTATATTTATATTCAACCAGTGGAATGTGATAAAGAACTATGGATTTCTTTATTCCAGATAAGTCTTGAGCACAACTCAGTATCTGAGCTACACAATCAGCTGCACTGTACCTTTGCAAGTTAACATTGGTCTTAACTCGATGTTAGTATCGAGTTGGGCAAGTCTATTCCACAAAACATGGACATGTATCACCAACAGTCACTCCTTCTTGATAAGGACAATTCTCCGTTTGGGGTTTCTATGGTTTCTGTTTTTTAAAGAGAACATGGTAAATTCTCTAACGAGTACAGAGATGACAAGTAAAGAGCCTTCCAGGCCAGGTGGAATGTCTTAACATCATTTTGTTTACATTGCATTTATTTTTGGCAAATAAACTGGTTCCTATTAATTGTAAGTGTAGTAACTAGCCTACTGCCAAAAACCAAGTGAATGAGCTCAGAAGCAGATCCTGCAACCCTGAGAGGAATATAGCCCTAAGGGTCTGAATGAGAGTCCCTAAACCAGGACTATCCAGCTAAACTGCTCCCAGAGAACTTAAGCTCAGAAGCTCTGTGAAAGTCTGTTGCTTTAAGCTAGTGTTTTTTTCCTTTTTTTTTTAAAAAAAGTAATTTATTCAAGTTGGCTTAGACACAGTGACCGCAGAAAATGTTGCCCAGCCATGTGCCAGTCTCACTTTAGGTACGTTTGAGCCCATTGTTGTATCCAGTGTCAATACTTCTCAGTGAGGGTCTTCCTCTTTTAGGCTCATCCTCTGTGTAGTAGTAAGCATGAGCTCCTTCTCCAGGCTAAGTCCCTCCTGATACTGTACTCAAAGTAAGAGAGATGAAATGTCACCATGCTTGCAAAGAGCATTCATTCTGGCTGAACTTCTTCCAAGACAGATGTTTGTTTTACTGGCAGCCCACAGTACTTTTAATATTCTTTGCCAAAACCATAATTCAAATGCGTCAATGCTTTGGTCTTCCTTTTTTCCCCCCATTGTCTAGCTTTTACATGCATTTGAGGTGACTGAAAATATCATGACTTGGGTCAAGGGCACCTTAGTGTTGACATCTTTGCTCTTTAACATTTCAAAGAGGTTGGTGCAGATTTTCCCAGAGCACTAAGTCATTTGGCTTTGTGATTGCTGTTTCTATGTGCACTGATCACAGATTGACACGAAGTGAAATCTTAGATAACTTTTATCTGGGGAGGATTTTATGTTGGGTTGTAATCCATACTATAGGCTTTGATCTTCATTAGTAAGTGCTTCATGGTCTATGGTCTTCACACTTTCAACAAGATTTTGTCACCTGCAGGCTGTTCATGTGTCTTCCTAAACTCTTGAGACCATATTTTAGCTTCTTGGATTATCTGCTTAGCACACATGTTATGTAAGTACAGTTGAAGGATATAATGCTGGCACACACCTTTTCCAATTTTAAATCACAGTCTCCCATCGTTCCTTCAAACTGCTTCTTGGTCTCTGTACAGGATCCCATGAACACAATGAGTTGTTTTGGAATTCTGGTTCTTTGCAAAGTTACCCATAATTTGTTATAATCCATTAAATAAACATTTTTCTGGTATTCCCTGCTTTTAGCCAAGATCCATTTGACGCCATCGTAAAGGTTATTTTTTCTCTCTACTTACTGTGGTAGTTACACAATTTCATGTCAACTTGATAAATGTCAACTTGAATGAAGGGATGGAGTCTAGCCTGTCAGTCAGGTCACAGCCTGATCCCTCATTGTGGGCATGGCCTTTTCATGAGAATTCTGCAAACTCTTTCTCTAAATCACATTCCTGATGACAAGCCACATAGAGCCATGCTGCTGGAAGCCAGAGCCCTGGAGATGCTTCTAGTACTGGATCCACAAGATCTTCTTGCATTCCGCATCACTGCATGTGTTACGTGAGTATGAAGATGAATTTATGCACTAGTATTGGGCATAGTCTAATGCCGGACTTATGGACTGGGCTAGAAGTTTTCTTAATAAACAATTACTCTTTGATATAAAATTCTCTCTTACACACATATGAGTGTCATCTCTGAATTTCTCTAGTGTACCCAGAATAACACATTTACTTCCAAAAAGCTTAATTTTTTAAAACAAGAAATCAGTAGGACTGTAATGTGTGGATATGATCATGACAGTGTTAACAGAAAATGGCCAAGTTTTCTCAAAGTCTGTTTTAGTGTCTTCTGCAGGTTGCTGAAGTTAAGGAAGTAGAAAGCCTTGTTTTTTTCCCTCAGAGTGGCAGTGATTTCGAACAGGTGACCTTGCATAGATATAAACTCTATTTCCTAGCTGTATGAGCTTGGCAATGTTTACTAACTTCTTTGAGCCTCTGTTTCTATTTGTAAAGTTAGCAAAATAACACCTCCCTTTTCTAGGGTTCTGCATGAGATAGAGGTGACTGTATGAGGTTCTTAGCAGAGTGCCTAGCACTTGTTTGTTAATTCCTATGTGACTACTTTCATCTGAGTTTCTTATGCACTACTTAGGGAGCCAGTGTAGCTTGAGCCTGAGTTTCCTAGTCTATCAAGTAAAGATAAAAAAGGCACCTAAGAGTTGCTTACAGAGGAAGGGCTCCAGGGGCATAGTGTTTACAAGTTGGGCTGAGATCGAAATCACCAGCAGCTTCAATGGAAAGGCAATGCCTTCTACTCCCATAAACAGTCTGGGAAACTGAAAGGGGGCAGTTCTACCCTGTCCTATAAGGTCGGTATGAGTCAGCATCAACTCAATGGCAGTGATTTTGTTTGTTTTAAGTGCTTACAAAGTCATTAATGAAATGACATACAAAGGACCTTCAAAAAGTCAATGAAAAGATATTACTATTTCCATTATGACCATCCAATCCAACAATGATTACATCCATTTTTATGCAAAGGGGCCATAAGAAAAGTCTTAATGGTGGATGATGAGGTCCTAAGTCAAAGGCTAGCAGTTTGTATAAAAAACTTGGGGGCAGGGAACAGACAGATGAAGATAATCATAGCTCTAGAATACATTGGATTGTCTGTACAATAAACAATAAAACGTTTGAGTATGTGTTATCCTATGCTAATTTGGGGCAATAACCTAAATTTCTACACCCACTGCCATCAAGTCAATTCTAACTCACAGTGAATATATATATATAAAAAGAGAGAGACAGAATTCAAGATTTTAAAACTTTATGGGAGCAGGAAGGCTGACCTTTCTCCCTTGGGTTGACTGGTGGGTTTGAACCACTGACCTTGCGGTTAGTAGCCCAACACCTGACCTAAACGAGCCACAGTAGGTGTTAAAACTGGAATGCTGAAATGTATGATGCATAGTATAGAAGCTTCTCCCAGCAAAAAAGCTGTATGAGAACGTCTAAGGAAAAAAAAGAACTTCTGTAAGTTTGGCTACCAAGGGACTATAGAGCTGGAAAAGAGACCTTTGAGAACATCAGTCTCCTGACTCTGAGACCAGAAGTACCTTCATGGTACCCAGAGGGTCTCACTCTCAACTGCTCTAAAAGGGATCACATTAGAAGATCCTGGATGGAGTGTGAGGAAAAACGTGGAACAAGATCATAAAACAAGACCAGGTTTCCTGGCTAGATAGAGACTAGTGGAAGCCACAAGACGAAATCTTTAGTCACCCTTCAGGTCTGGAAATAAACTAATCTCTATGGCTCAATTTTCAGCCAAACAATAGTCCTATAAAGGGACCAATACTATCTGGACTGCAGAATAATGTACTATTAAAGATTAAAAGGGCAGCATTTAGTCCAGAACGAAATCCAGAAGGCTTAGGAGAGGAGGAAGAATGGAAAGACAGAGAGGAAATGGGATAAGTTATATTACAATTAATGACATGACAAAAAATGTATGACTTGATGAATGGAAAACTTATCTGCCAATAAAGGAGGAAACAATTATATAACTAGGCAAGCCATCATAATTTACTGAAATAACTTAAGTGATAAAACATGTCTGAAAGAGTATAGCTAATATTCAATTAAAGTTTACAAAGAACTATAAAAAGTTTACATATAATTGTAAGAATTTAGTTTTGAAGCAGGAATTATATACAGAGGGCCGTGGCATGCAGTGGTATTTTACTTGGGAGATACCATTTAGCATTTTTCCTTTTAAATTGCATCTAGATGCTTTTAACTCAGATATGTATATGCCTTATGCCCAATTGTATAATATTTGGACACAATGATACTTAGTCCCGGCTTTAAAGAATAATTCTAATTAAAATGGAAAGTGGAAAAAATTTTTATCCTCATTTTTAAGGCTCAAATTCTGCATGTCACTTTTGATTTGCCATTATTATTTATTCTATACAACAGTATATAACATTTATATCATGGAAACATGGTTAAGGATATGATGAATAAAATAAAACAAAGGCAAGAAGAAGGTTCCTTCCTTGGGTATGATATTTTGTTACAGGTACTGCACTAACTGGCTTTATCCCACAGGTGGAGAGATGCTGAACTGGTCAAAGGCCTGCATCTGGGTGGGATAGGCCTGGCTTAGGTGGGATAACATAGGCCATCTTACAGTATACGAAGGTATTACAAAGTAACCCACACAAAAGAAAGACAACAAATCTAACTCAAGAATACACTAATCAACTCTGGCCAAAAAACAACCATCTTCATATTGCCAATGAAGAGATGATTCTATGTCTTAAACAATTAGTGAAACAAGAGATTTGGGTAGCCCACTCAGGACGCTTCCTTCAAATAACTGACTTGCATAATTTGTTTTCCTAAGAGGATCCAATGGTAACATTGGAGGAGAAACTAGTGTCATAGCAAATTATTACTTTTTCATTAGGGATATGATGCTATTGCCTCTGTAAACAGAATGAACTACCATGCCAATTAATAAGTTTATATTAACATATTATTCATATAGCGAAGTCACTTTTACATTTTTCCTGACCTCAGGAAGAGTTTATCACACATGCCTCTGTATTTAAATTCTTGTGCCTTACTATTAACTGTAATTATCAACTCATCTTTCACTTTAATCGATTGTGACCTATTAAAGAGTTAAGAGATGAGGTCTTAATTTTTCTTTATACCATTTAGCATAGTACCCTGGCTCAACAGGAAACAAAGATTTACTGAAACAATGCCTTTTTCCCTTCATAGTTCTTACTGTCATTCATTTTTGCCAGGTTGGCGGCTTTGAAATCTATAAGCATTGAATCCATGATTCTAAGACAGTGAGCATGATGGTACACTGAACTTGACACCACAACTTCACAGGAAGTTGTGGACACCACAACTTCCCAGAGTGTTCCTCTCTGCTCGGACGCCCTCCCCCTTTCTTTCTGTACTCTCCTATCTAGGGTGGACTCTGGAATCACTCTCCTCTCCTCTCCACAGATTTCTGGCACCAATGGGTTTTGGATATAGAACTTTCACAACGTCCACTTTGACAAACAGGAACCAACCATAGGGAGAATAAAACTCTTCAAAACACACACTACCTTCCACCGCTCTTTTGAAGAACACTTTACAGCTTCCACAAGTCAGGACCCCGTAGTGACAGCCAGAAGCTTCGTCAGAGCACACCAAGCAGAGTTTGGGAGGTGGTCCCATCGCACTTGAGGAGCTGGATGGAGGAGAGCTCACATCTGGTCTCATTCCAGGGCTACAGGAGGGAAAACCGTGACTGTAGTACATGTCAAAGGAACATAACAATGCCGTTGTCTTACCTTCTTGCTTCAGTCAGCATGTCCACAATGAACCTCTGGCTTCACGTACTAGCAGAAATGAAAATATCCTATCCAAATACACTGAAATAATGCTAGGTTCCTTTTCTTATACAAGAATGAGGACACAAAAAAGGTCCCACTGAAGAGAATAGTGAGGTTGAAGTTTAGGTAGCAATGATTATTTGCTTAGAATAGTATTTTGTGATTACCGGTGTTGAGCTGTCATGTACATACAGTAACAACCACCATTTAAAACATGCGTATTTTGTTTTGTCTTGTAGCCACAATGTTTCCATCAGGCTTAAAAAAAAAAGCCTCCTACCCCTTTAAATGCTTAAAGGGTCAATTTTTACTTCAAGATGTTTATACATGCAGAGTCTAAAACCTTTTGAGTTTGGCCCAGCTGAAATCAGTATTTTACTGATTTAGAAAAGACTGATCAAGAAACACTGCTTTTCTGTAACCTCCCTGTCTCACTTGCAGTCACACTGGAGAAGACCTTGGGTTTAACAGAAAGGACTGTTCTGCTTCCTCCAGTGAGGCGTCTGAGACAAGGATAGGAGATACTTATCTGCTTCTCTCACTGGATCGTGTTTCTCATAGTGCAATCTTCCCAAGTTGAGTGCAGTGTGGCTTTTACTAGTGCTCAAAGATGTGCATTATTTTACCTAATTTGTTATTAGGAACAGTTTCAACCTCTCAGCAAAGCTGTAGAATTTTACAGTGGACATATATCTTATACCTATATCCACCAATGCCTAATAGTTTTCCACATTTGCTTCCAGAACTGTATCTTTATAAACTTATGAGACAGTAGTCTTTTTAATGCTGGAGAAAAATCAACTACTAAAAGTTAACAAGACAATGGTTTCTAATGTACATTCCTAAGTGATTTCCATCTTACATGCCAACTTACGAATTAAAAATGGGTAGCTAAAAGATAATTTCTAACCTTAAGCTTATAATTAGACTGACCATTCCTTAACTGGTTTTGTGTTTTCAAAAAGACTTTCAAAAATATTTCTGGTAGCAACTTGTTGATTTGGGGAATTCCATGTATTAAAATAAGAAGTTCTTGGTGGTATAGTGGTCAAGTACCTGGCTGCTAATCAAAATGCTGGCAGTTCAACCTACCGGTCGTTCCATGAGAGAGATGTCCAGTTTGTTTCTGGTGAGAGTTACAGCTTAAAAAGCTTGTGAGGCAGCTCTACTGGATTCTAATAGGGTCGGAATGACAGGTCTTTATCAATCACAATGGAACCTGGATGGGCACTTTCTCTGAGTGTTTAATTTTCCCTATTTCCTAAGAGAAATGGCCTTTAGGAATAAATTATTGCATACTTTGCTTATTCTACCAATAACAATACAAAAGTTCAATTACATATATGTTTAAACTGAGCAAATCAACGGAAGATATCAAAGTAGCACATCTTTTGTTTCTGTTTGTTAGGGTCCATCAAGTTGGTTCCCGTTCATAGCGACCCTTTGCACACTGCTGCAAAGAAACACTGCACCATCCCCTTAAGTGTTGCTATGTTTGAGCCCAGTGTGGCAGCCACTGTGCCAATCGTCTTGCTGAAGGTCTTCCACTTTTTCACTGCCCCTCCACTTCCCCAAGCATGATGTCCTAAGTACATGAGCCTAAGTCTCACTACCCTTTCCGGTAGAAGCCCAGGAGCATTCTGGCTAGACTTCCTCCTTGACAGCTGTGTGTGTTCTTTTGGAAGTCTATGGTATTTCCAATGTTCTCTACCAAGACGGTCCTTCAAATGCATCAAGTTTTCTTTGGTTTTCCTTATTCAAAGTCCAACTTTCACATGCATATGAGGTGAATGAAAACATCATGGCTTGGGTCAGGTGCACCTTAGCCCTCAAAGTAACATCCTTGCTTTTAAACACTCTACAGAGCTCATGATCCACAGATGTCTGTAATGCAATGTGTCCTTTGATCTCTTAATTGCTGTTTCCATGAGATAGTAGGTAATGTGAATGAGGCCAGTAAACTCAAAAGCTCCCCCCTAAATTTCCTTATTCTTCTCTGTTGGGAAAACAAACACATAACTGGATAATGGACATAAAACTGTTTTCCCATGCCAACTTTCAATCTCCTACATCGCCCAAACTGCCTTCAACTCCCCACAACCCTTTGCTAATCTAAGAAGCTTAGTCAACAGGACTACATTCTCACTGCCTAATTCTAGGAATAGGCGTCGGGGCTTCATGTGATTCCCCAAGCACTTCACACACACAAAATGCTGGATGATTCTCTATCACCGGCATTGATTTCCCACTGGATTTGGGAGAGTGGACTGAGTGCACACTGAAAGCTCATAATCATAACCTGAAATGACTCTGCTGCAGGTCTGGCATGAGCAACCCTGGATTAATGGAAACTTGTGACTAAAGTGGAAGAGCTTCTCTGGGCCTGAGCTTTACAGAAAAGTAAGCAGGCCTTGGTGTGAGTGAACACAGCAATGTGTTGGGGAAGCAAAAACTTCTCTGGCTTCTGTTCTGAGGATGCTCCTGTTCCTCCTCAGCCAATCTCTGTCACCTGACATCTATATTTAGGCATCGACCAGTTGTTTGTATATTTAGATTATGGAAACTGAGAATGATGGTTAAAGATTTAAAAGATTAATTCTGCAATGTTTCCTCAGCTATAAATGTAATACAAGGGGACTTCATAAAGTTAGTGGAAAAATGGAATTGAAAGACAATAGAAAATTTCCATTAACTTTTGAAACTCCCTGGTATATTGTATATATGTGTGTGTTGTATGCGTGCATTTCTTTTGAACTTTAATAGCACTTGAAAGTGTTTTATAGCTTGAAAACACTTTCACGAATACACTCCCCACAGAGCTGTGAGAAAGAATCACCACCCATCATCTCTCAGGTCGCACCATCAGGTGGAAGGTCAGGGAGCATATCCATGGCCAAACGGACTTGTTTCAGTTCCTGGCTATACCACTTAGCAGCTGTGTGACCTTGGGTAGATACCTACGCACACTGAACTTCATTCTTCTCACTAGTAAGTAGGAAGGGCAACCCGTGTGTGTGCCATGAATATAAGGTGTACTACAGAAAGTCTTGCACACAGTTCCTGCATTTAACACATCATCAATAAAAATTACCTTCACGTCCACATAACAGATGATTTTATAAAAAGCAGTACGTAGTTATTACTAACTAAGCAGAAGGTAGGATTAGCTTTAAAACCTAGGACAGTATTCACGAATTCTCACTTATAGTGAAAACATACAGAAATATATTCAGGCCACTCAACTGCGAGCTATATACAGATGACAGACAAACATACAACACTGCCATCAAGTCAACCCTAACTCACAGCCACCCCACCCAACCGAGTGGAACTGGATTCAGAGGCTGTGGCCAAACACACCGAGTGCCCAGATATGACCAAAGGGAAGTTAAAAGTAATTGGACATATAGACGGATAGAACAGTAGCTAAACGGTGGTATCCTCTAAGGCAGTTTGTCTGGACCAAACAGTGAGAACACAAAGTTGCCAAGTGTACCACAGTTAACAGTGGGATCACTTTTGTCACACACAGTGGCGACTTATAATGAGTGCCACTGGGCAAAACAAATGAATGTACAATATCGACTGCAGATGTGACCCTATGACATTGGTAAAAAGAAACAATGAAATGGTTGGAACCCCCAAACCATAGGGAATTGGCATTTTAATAAGGATCCATGGCAGAAAGAAATCAAAGGTACATCATAATCAGTGCACATTGTACCACTCCAGTGGGAAAGCTGAAAGAGCCCGGTCTAAAGGCACCATCCTCTGTGGTAGCTCGTGATTGCTCCCTGTGGGCTGCAGCTGGGCCCCACATTCTGAGGACGCCAAGAGGCTCTTTACAAGTGACTAAACCCAGGGTGCTTCCTGCAAAGTGAAGAGTCACAGGAACGAAGACCTTGTTCTAGGTGAGCACTTAAATGTTGTTGCTCAGTCAGAATGAGAGTGTGTCATCAAGTCATTCCCGAGTTTACTAGTGAAGATAAAAGGAAGGAAGGATATGCATAAAAGTTATCCTACCTAATTTCTGACAAGAACGGCAAAAAAAGGAGCATCATGGGGGAGGAGACGAGCCAGTCAGGGTGCAGTGTAGCAATGATGAAACATACAACTTTCCTCTAGTGCCTAAATGCTTCCTTCGCCCCACCACTATCATGATCCCATTCTACCTTACAAATCTGGCTAGACTAGAGGATGTACACTGGTACAGATAGCAACTGGAAACACAGGGAATCCAGGACAGATGATTTCTTCAGGACCAGTGGTGAGAGTGGCCATACTGGGAAGGTGCACGGAAGGTGGAGTAGAAAGGGGGAACCGATTACAAGGATCTACATATAACCTCCTCCCTGGGGGATGGAAAACAGAAAAGTGGGTGAAGGGAGACGTTGGGCAGTATAAAATATGACAAAATAATAACTTATAAATTATCAAGGGGTCATGAGGGAATGGGGAGGGAGGGGGAAAAGGTGGAGCTGATACAAAGGGCTCAAGTAGAAAGCAAATGTTTTGAGAATGGTGGGGGCAACAAATGTACAAATGTGCTGGACACAATGGATGTATGCATGGATTGTGATGAGTTGTACAAGCCCCCAATAAAATGGTTTAAAAAAAAAAAAAGAAGAAAATTAATCACACACCTGGTGAAGTAAGAATGCATTGGTCGGGGGTGGGAGGGGAGAAGGAAGGAATGCCCGACATCCTCTGACTTCCTATGATGGAAGGAGAATCAAATTCAACATAAGCCCAAGGCCAAAAGTCCACCACACCAATACCTGATTCTGACACCAATAATTCCTCCCGGGATTGTTGCTGGGTGCCAACAAGTGGGTTCTGACTCGTAGCGACCTTAGGTACAATAGAATGAGACAGTGCCACGTCTGTGGCATCC